CGGGCGCGCTCGATGCATGCGAGAGCGACGGCCGCGTCCGCGCGCGGACCCCCGCCATGCGCGAATGCAAATATCGATGGTGGTCCGGCGACAACGCGCATCAGGACCGAAGGCCGCCGCGCAGGGGGTTGAAGTTCGGGCGGCGGAGCACGGCGGTCACGCATGGCACTCGCCAGTCCATCCAGTCACTCTCGTCGTTCACCAGTGGGTCAAAGAAGTTGCTCGGCAGCCGCGACGCAGCCAGTCGCGCCAGTCGGGGCGCACCGAGGCCAACAACTGTCGAATTCATGAACTGGTCGCAGGCGCGGGCATCGCCCAAGTCGGCGCGATAATGCACTTCTTCGGTTGGAGCTGCGTGCCCGCGAAGCGGGCGGCAGCCTCGAGGCGGGGCAGATCTGTTCAACGTCTCGGGGCCGCGCTTGGGCGACGCCGAGGTCGTCGGCGCGCGCGCTGAGGAAGCCCCGCTGAATGTCGCAAAGGACGCGCATGATGCCGCGGATGCAATGGTCGAAGATGAGCGCCCACAGCGCGCTGCTCAGGGGGCACCCTCGCGCCGCCCCTGCCCCGGCAGGAGCGGAGGCCAACGGGCGCCGTCGAGCTCCAGGAACGCGACGGGCCAGCGGCAGAATGCCTCCACGGGCGCGAGCAGCTCAGCTGCCCTTGGACGCCCCAGCGCTGCAGAATCGCCCAGAGCCAGTCGTGAAGGAGGCTAGGGATGCGGCAGCGATGTCCATCAGGACATGATTTCGGGAGCCTCGCCCTCGGCGCTCAGCTGGCGGGCGACCGAGCCGACGGCGGCGATGTTGCCGAGAAGCTGCTTGCCATGCGCGAAGCCCCGTTGCTCCTCGGCCGCGCTTGCGGCCGAGCTGCGTAGCTCGCGGTGGGCGGCGGCCGTGATCAGCTTGACGTCGGCGCCCATCATTGCGAGAGGTCTCAGGCAAGCCGACTCCCGAGGGCGCTCGACGGCGCAGATTGGCGCGCCGCCCTTCGGAAAGCACGGCCACGAGCGGGTTGTCGAAGTCGCGCCGGGCAGGCCCGCCGTCGGCCTGGGGGGGGGGCGGTCAGCCCCGCTAGCGCTTCGAAGGCGCCGGGGGAGCGCGGCCAGGCGCGATGAGGTAGCCCATCGGGGCCGGGCGAAGAGTGGCCTGCCATCCGAGCCGTCGCAAGAAGGCCATCGCGATCGGGAACAGGGGGGCGATGAGGCGGCCGATGAGGGAAACCAGAATCAAGGCGCCTGCGCACGCTCGTGGCGGCAAAAGCCCTGCCCCCGTGCCCCTGCGCAGCGCCGCGCGTGGCCGTGGAGCCGGGGCGCGCGCGCCGTCGCCTGCGCGCCGCGACGCGAATGCCTGCGAGTGCCAGGCGATTGGCGAAATGTTTCCAGAACTCTCCCGTCTGTCCTTCGCGGCTGGCACGCTGCTTCCACGCGTCGACGAGCTGGCGGTTGTTGCGCTGGCATGCAGCGCGGGATCTGGCAGCGGCCTGCTGGCGACGGGCATCGATCGCAGCGGCGGTGATCGCGTCGACGGCGCGGGGAAATTCAGCTTGGCTGCGGACGCCAATGTTGGAGCCGTCGGTCTGCGAGCGCGGCTGGCCCGCAGAGGCGCCGGCCACGAGCGGGTCGCCAGTCGGAAAACCAGACCGCCCTCGCAAAGCAGCTGCGTCGTCGGGCGCGCTTGCTTATTGACGGCTGCGCCGGCGTCGATTATCTCCGACGCTGGGGCCATGATGGCGCCGCGAGCTTTCCGCGCCGCCGCAGACGCGACCTGCTTCGTTGCGCGCCGCTTGGGGACGGGGCCCAAGCGAGGGTGCGTCCGAGTCGTTCGGGGGGCCCCGTCAGAAGACCTCGTAGCGGGTGGCCTCGAAGAGGCCGACTGGGGCCCCGCGCTCGGAGGGCGGGCGTTGGGCTCGAAGAGGCACCCGTGCATGTAGGGCGTTGCGATCGCTCGCAGGGTCGCCCGCTCTCTTCATCGCGCGGCTGTCGCAGGAGGATAGCCCCGAAGTGCGGGGGGAAGTGAGCGTTCGTGGAGATGCAGCATCTCTCGATGGCTGCGTCAGTCCCACGAGAGACACCGCGGTGGGCCGTCGACCGAGTAGCGACCTTAACGACAGATGAGTGCATTCTTCCAGTAGCCAGTGTGATGCTGAAAGCGAGCCGCGGCGCTGGCGTCAACGGGGCGCTGAAGGCACTTGGGCGGCAACTCGGACATGCTTAAGTCGCCGACGAGGACCGAGTTGGTTTGTCGAGGGGTTCGCCGACATTCTTGCCTGAGCAGTCTGCCACGCTGCAGAAAATGCGCCTCCGTCGGCCGCCGTGAGCTCATGGTTATGGACATTAAAGATGGTGGTCTCGAGCTGGCGCGACGCGCTCAGGATGCGGAGCTCGGCGATGCGACCAAAGACAATCTCGAAGAAGTCGAGCCTGGGTCCTTAATACCTGCGGAGTCTACGATCTTGCTTACCAGGAGGAACGAGAAATGCAACGCCGCCTGCCGTGTGGGAGCTGCCGTTGGACGCCAAGTGAAAGGCCTTGTAAATGTGGGGCGTGGACTCGTCAAACATCTGGAGGTCGCTGGCATTTCCATGTGTCTCCAGGGCGGCGAGAACGGGTCCCCGGCGCATGTAGGGGGGCACCATGCGCCTTTGAATGTCGCGTCGGGCAGAAAAACGACCAAGTAGAGCCGGCAACCCCAAGAAGCGATAGTTGTCCCATCTGTTTTAAAACGGTTTGAACAGCAATGGGGCCCTTCTGTCGTCAAAACCACTGCGCTGATGCCATGGGGTCCGCGAGCGCTGCACCAAGTTCAAAAACCAGAGCATCCTGAGCGTGAGGGTCAATACCACCAGGCGCGGCCGCATCAGACCAGCGAGCTTTGCTGGCCCCGTCGGGGGATGCACCAGCTGTGACGCGCACGATAGGGATGTTCTGTGCAGATGGGTAGCCGCTCGTGCGGTGGATCCTGGGCGCGATGTGGGTGAGCTTAGCATTGGTGAGCTTGCTGAACTTCGTGGGTTGGACCTCTTGACGAACCATCCGCGGAAATTTGTCAGCAGATGCGCAGTGTGGTTCTCGTCCTTGGCTGGTCTCAATGCAGAACGACCTCCGTCCTTTGCCATTGCGAAGCGTTTTGTGACTAGCATGCGCGCGTGGAACGGCAACCTGATCACCGCCATCATAAAAGACATCCGCTTCCCAGGGCCGTTGGCATTGATGGTGATGGATTTGATGCCGACTTGAGCTGCAGAGAACCATTCCAGAATCGATGTCTTGAGCGCGGCACTGCTGTACTCGGTGGTAGCGCCACACCAAAACGTGCCAGCGTGAACGGCGCGATCGTAGGTACCGATGGAGGCAATGCTGAGGGCTGGGTGCGTGGCCTCTGCGGCAGCCAGCGTCTTGTTGATACGGGGGCGGTGGCGGCGAGACTGGCGTTGAGAGTTTCGGCCTTGTCCGCGCGATGTTTAACTTCAGAAATGTTTTCAATTTTGTCATGAAGCGTGGTGGGCTCCGCCGTGCTCTTTGTGATGGAGGCGAGAAACTGGACCTGGGTGTCGGTGTGAACATGCTTGGCTGTGATGGCGGAGGCCGCAGATGCAGCGCCGGTTTGAGCTTGAAGAAGTTCCTGCAGTTCTTTTCGGCGGTGTGCAGGAAGGCCGATGGCTGCAAGTTTCTGACCCACCGACAAACCTTGACCGTCCGTGTCCAACACTGGGGTCAGGTCCAATAGGTGGTAGCGCATGCTGGGGCTGTTGTCCACTGCCTTTGCTTCGATTCGCACTCAGCAGCAATGAGATGGGCCGAGCCACCCAAGCCAACGAGCGCGTGGATACGTAAGAGGGCGGAGAATACTCTTCTGAGTTGGCCACGGATTAGCGGTATCCGTTGGAAGCCTGCGGGCGCTGTGCCCCACAACATTGAGTCTTCAGCCAAAGTGGCTACGGAGGAGGAGGAGGAGGAGGAGGGGGAGGAGGGCGACGGGAGGAGGGAGAGCCGTGGTGGCGAGCGGGTGGCATCAGACGCTGCCCCGCCCCGGGTGCGCGGGCGGTGTGGAACCGACGCTGCAAGTATATAACAGCCGGGGCCCGCAAAACGACGGCGCCGAGTGCCCTCCGGGACCTTCCGCTGGCCCCCGCCTTGAGCAGGAGCGAAAGCAGGAGCGTGGGTAGTGAGCGGGAGCAGGAGAAGGACCAAGAGGGGATCCTGCCCCTTTCTCCTCCTCCTCCTCCTCCTCCTCCTCCTCCTCCTCCGCCTCCTCCGTGGTGGAGCGTCCCGATTGGATTGGCGCGGGGCCGAATGGCAAGCCCTGGGGCCATTTCGACAGACAGCGTCAGATCTGCCGCATCACCGTTGACAAGACTACCTCTCATCGTCCCCTGGTAATGATTGTCCTGCTCTTGCTCCTCCTCCTCCTCCTCCACCACCCTCCTCCTTCTCCTCCTCATCCTCTTCTTCTTCTTCCTCCTCCTCCTCCTCCTCCTTTCCTCCTTCTCATCCTCATGCTCCTCCTCCTCCCCCTACTCCTCCTCTTCCTCCTCCTCTTCTTCTTCCCCCTTCATAAAATTGTCATCCCTCCTCCTCCGTCTCTTTTACACCGGATTCCGCCCGCTCTCACCCTCCTGCTCTTCAACTGGGCAAGCAGCACGGACGAAAGCAGACGACCGCAGCTACTCGCCCGAGCGTCTGCAGGTGGCTTCCCAAGCAGACGAAGCAACGCAACGCGAAAAGTGATGCATACAACCTGGAGAGATGTTGTTCACTGCCCACAACAACCCACGCGCACACCGCAAAACCATAGTTCCGCGAGAGCCAAGCGAGCGAGCCAGACGGCGGCCACGTGCCTCGAACGCACAAACTGTTGCAGAAGACTCAACCGAGAACGGAGCAACAGTAGGCTTAGAGGAACAACAAGACGTACAGAGCAGGGAGTGTTCACGGTCGGGAGGGGGGGGGAGCGGGGCAACACGGCAGCACGAGCAGCACAAGAGAAAGCGTGGCGGCGCACCCCGCTGCTCTTGGCGCCAGCGCCCTTGCACCCCGCGAAGGCTGCGCCTGCTCAGCTGCAAGAGACCGCTATCCTTCCACTCCTACCCCTCGTCCCCACGTCTTCGTCATCGTGCTCGTCATTATTGTGGTCGCCACTTAGCATCATGCTGCTCCTCGTGCCGCTTATACTGCCACGCATTATGTTCCCCACAACCCCTCTCGCTCCACTTCGGCGACCGACTGGCTACTGACTGCCTCACCTTTGAATAAGTTTGGCGTTTGAGCGCTCAGGGCCACGATGGGAGCTTGATCGAAGATGTGCTGATCGTCATGGTCGGGCCTTGGCCATGTTGAGAAGTAATCAAGCCGGTTCGCGTGGGGTCAGACAGGGACGTGTGCCTAATGCGCTGCATCTTCTCAGCTGCGCCAATATGCTTGGCAGAGAGGCGTGTCGATACGCCTAAAGCAGCGGCGCTAGCCCAATGCAAGTGTTGCGCGGAATCACATCGGAGGGGTGCCTTTGCATCCCGGGCAAGACACCATGCCCACTCGTGTTTCGTAGGTGTCCCTAGGAGCCCGCCTCCCCTCCTTCTCCGCGGCCCCTTTTTGCCCAGCAGGCTGCTCTTGTATATCCTGACGCTATTACCTCGGTTCTGCGCGGGGCGGGAGGGGACTGCGCGGGCGCCAAACGAAGCAGAGCGGTGCACTGAGCTGAAATATCGCCACCGCACTTGCAGCGGGTGGTGCGTCGGCCCCTTGACTTTGTGTTGTTCCCTGCGCTTCCTGCGCTGGCTGCCCTCCAAACGACACACGATGTCAAACATAATACTTGAGGTGGGAACCTCCATTCTTCCTTTGACTATCCCCCCTCTCACCATCACTCATCTCCCTGTTCTCTCTGTCCCTCTGCATCTTCCTCCGAGTACCCACCTTCCCCCCATCATTCATATCCTTCTTCTCCATTCCCCGTCCCCGTCCAAGCCTTTCTCGGGAAAGCAGCCCTTGTACCCGCCGCCTGCGAGACCAGGAGGCGTCAGCGGTGGGAGGCTGGAGGGAGCAGGGAATGCTAGGGGAGGGCGTCGGGAGTGAAAGAATGGTGGGTCGACACATTTGCCGTGACCCAGGAGGAGACAGGATTGATGGGTCGGAGGAGGCGTTCGGTTGGATTCGAGAGGTTTCTGATGTGTTGGAATGTTACCCAAACTTCTTGGAAGTCTCCAAGGGCCACGGGCGGGAGGGAAAACCGACCCACAGACAAAAACAAGTGCCGCGCAGACGTGATGAACGTGTCCGAACGAAGCAGCCGCGGCGCTGGCGCGCAAGCGAGGGCACCAATTCGGCGCAGCTCAGGAAGCACAGGGGGGTACACACGCAGCAGATAAAACGACAACGAACGAACAACATGTGATTTGCCTGGCACCCCACCCTTTGCGGAGGGATCCCTGCGACCCGGGCGTCGCATTTTTACACCTAGCGATCTCGCCCTGGTTGGGGCCCTGGGGCCACCAGATCATCACATATCAATCCAGATCGAACAACGAAACAAAGAATTAAGGTCAGTCTAGAGCTCTGGCCGTGATTCCGCGCGTTGTTGCAACGGCTTCGCAACTTCTGATCTCAGGGGAAGAGCGACCCCGCCCCATCTGGAGAACAAGCTGTCCGGAATCAAGGCTCCAAACAGCCCTTGCCGATGCGCCATCTCGCCAAGCAGGCGCAACAGCGCTCCTCTGTGCGCACGGGCGCAGATGTGGACAACAGGTGCTGCGCACGCCCAGCACGAAGCAACAAAACCAAAAGAACGTTCCGCGCGCAAGCAGGGGCAAGAGGAAGCGGACGTGGTGTAGGGGCAAATGAGAGTTCGCAAAGCGAGCGAACCGAAGGTCGCGTGCTCTGAATGGTGGTTCGCACGCGAGCTTTAGATCGCACCTGCGCGACAGTGTGGGTGGAGAAATACATCGCTACGGGGACATGTGCGAGGCGGAGGGGAAGAGGAGAGGAGCCGTGGGACGGGATCGGGATAAAAGGCTGGACCGAGGGCCGAGGTCGAGTTCAAAGGTGATTGCGAGGAGCCAAGCGAGCGCGAGGGTGAGTGCGGGGGCGCAGGAGTGGGACAGGAAGAATTTGAACACAGAAGCTGTTATTTACACAGATACAGGCGTGCGCAGATGTGCATGGATCAATCATACTGAAATGGACATTCTGTCTTGCAATCCAAGAGGACGTGGTTGTACTAAGGTTCCGCGATTCGGCGTGTCGCCAATGTTATTGTTTTTTCATTGTCGCCGTCGCCCCGCGACACACCCGCGCCTCGACACACCCGCGCCCCCCCACACTCTCATCCGCAATTGCGGGGGGAAATGTGTGTATGATTGCCAGCGTGGACCCCGAACAGTGGGCTCTTGCTATCTTGGTGTGCGCTCTATGTGGTGCAACCCATGTGTCACAACTCACCAGCGGAAATCGCAGTCGTCAGCTACAACGCTCGCGCAAGCCACGAAAACGGCACCCATGTTCCGTACGATGTTTGAATTCCCTCCAGGCCCCCCTCCGACGCGGTACGGTTCATAGTCTGTCGGCTCTGAGGGGCCGACAAAAAGATGCACCGTACATGTCCTGGGTCGAGGATCGACGCTGCCTCGGGAGACGCCAAAGCTGTACGGTGTGAACAAGTCGACCGCGGACAAGCATCCCGCCCTCACGCCCGCAGCTTGAGTCGCAAAAAACCCTACGGCCGCGCGGGCGCACGCCCGCTCATCTCGCGCAGCTCCGCCAGCTGGCTGGGTAGAAGCGGGGCGGCCGCGATGGCGCTTACCGAGGGGAACTCCGCAGCACATCTCTTATCTTCCGGCGCGCATAAGGGGGCGCAGGGAGGGGGAGGCAGGCTTCTTAGCAGGTGGCTGCTTATTAGAAGGCGCCGGCCATACGCGCCTTCTACGAAGCAGGGGGGCTTCTAAGAAGGCTTCCCTCCCCCCCGATACCCGCCCCTGCGGGTAGCCGACTCAGGCCGCGCTGCCGCGAAGGCATTTCAAGACGGGTCGGTGGCTCGGGTGGACATGATATCGTGGTGACTTCGGCAAAGGCAGCAAAAATGATGATACTAGCAATGGTGGTGGTGAGTATGACGACGCGTCCATGTGTCGGTGATGAGGGTGATTGTGATGATGATGTCGGCAATTGCGGCGATTGACGATGACAATAGCTGCAGTAGTGCGATGCCGCTGATTAGTGTGATGATGTAATGCGCACGCAGAAATTCAAGAATTCGGGCAGACTTCTTCTAAAACAAGTCTTGTTTTTGTTCAAAGAGCTGTATCCTGAAATGCTTCGGCAACCAATGGTTTGGAAGGACTTCGACACGCGCGCATGGCGGCGCGCGCATTGTTCCGCAAGGTGCTCTTTGATGCGGATTTGCTCGCTGGCCGCATGCTCGATCAACGCGGATGCACCGCGAGGTGGGATGAGAATGCTGGTTCTGGACGAGATTTCTAAAAGCGCATGGTTTCTCCATGGCTTATATAGACATCTACCCGATTTGTGATGAAGAACATATGGGCTAATGTATGCTGTATGTTGGAATGCTTGCACGACGAATGTGGATGGTATGCGTTCGGCACGTGCTCGCGCGTGTGGACGGTCGTAGCTGTTGCAAGAGGCTCTTGGTAACAGAACATACCAGGGGTCTTATATTTGAAGAAGTGCGCTCACATAGTATTATTTGACAGGGGTGATGGGGCGTCAACACTGGCTGGGCTGGTGATTTAAGGACGGAAGACCATTTACAAAACAAACTACGAGAAGCAATACACCAGGGGTAGAGGTTAAGCCTGGACGCGGGAGGGTGGCACAGTCCTGTTCTTCGTTTGAAAGGAGGGCCTAGGCTGTGCAAGCGATGTGATGCAAGCTATGCTGCGAAATGCATGTGGTGGAATCGCGGCTTGCTAAAAGGTGCCCCTGGCCCAAGGTGCCCCCAACTTTTCGCTCCATTTTGGAGCCCCTGGGGCCCTCTGGGCCTGGGAGGGGTGCTCTGAAGGCCGTGGGGGGCTTCCATGGAAATCCTGGGGGCAGCTTGGGCCAGGGACACCTCTAGCAACACCCGATTGAATATGTGCAGGAGGCAAACGGCTTGCGCATGAACCCGGAAACGCGAGGGAGTGCACATGACAGCGACGGGTAGCGCGCGAAGCCCTGGGGAACCCAGCTGGCGCACGGCAAGCGGCCCAAAAGAGCCTCTTGCCCACGACCCAGGCACGGGGGGGCGGCGCCGCGGCAGCGAGCGCCGGCAGCCCTGCCGGGGGCGTGGCTCAGGAGCAACGACAGGGGGGGGCTGGCCGAGGAGGGGGGGGGGACCGATCCCCAATCGTGCAGTCATCGCCAGTCATGGCCTGGGTGCCCCGCTCCGCCCGGGAGCGTTCGGTTTGGCAAGGACGGGCCGAAGACCATCAATCAAGCAGGTTCGTGATGCTGATCTCCGTGCAGCGGAGTTTCGCGGGCTTGTTCCTGCAGAGGCCGCCCGTCGCCACAGCCAACACCTCTTGGGCTCTGGGGGCACCTCAGGCGTACGCCCAGGTGTCTGCAAGGCTGCGCACCACTCCAGTGCAGCCAGATGTCAACCGGACCCTGCGCGCCCGTCACCTCGGCCGAGCGCGGTCTTCGATCGCTACAGCCGCCAGGCTGTTTCTGTCCACTGAAATCCTTCCAGATGGGGTCCGAGTAGATGCAGTCGGAAGATCGCGCCGCATCGCCGATGCATCGCCGATGATGCATCGGTGACGTCGGCGGTGCATCCGCGACGCCGGCGTGGGGGAAATCGGGCTCCACATCGAGCCGCATCGGCGATGCATCGGCGATACGGCGCAATCCTCAGACCCACTCTGCTCGGACCCATCGAGGAAGCCCAGGGCCACGGCGAGCCTCGGCCACGGGTAGGTTCCCCGACCTAGCTCCTAGCTCGAAGGAGAGGCCCGGGAGCCAGAAGCCCCTCCTGAGCCCAAAACGATCCTGCCTTTCGCCGCGCGCCTCTCGCCAGAGGGCGCTCCCCCGCCTCGGCGCAAGCTTGCGCCGAAAGAGGGGGGGGAGGGCGAGCATAGGAGGCCCGGCCACATCCGCGAGGGCCGCCTCTGGCTTTGAGTGTGTATCAGCTCTGGTGGAGCGGGGTCAGACTCGGGCCGCGGTGGCTGTGGAACAGCTGGCGGCGGACTCATCCAGCTGGATATGGCGCAGATGGGGAGAGGGCGGAGTGGGGGGGGATGCGGGTGATGGGAAGATCAGCAGGAGCGGGCTTGGCGGCGGAAGGGAAGGGGGCACCTGGAGAGGCCAGAAGAAGCGAGGGGCGAGCGAGGGGGGCGGTCGAGGGGTGGTGAGGACCGCAGGTGGCAGGAACGAGCTCCCTCTGCCATGGCGGAGGGCCCGCGGGGCGGCAGGCCTGGCCCCGGGAAGCCGCCCTTGAAGCCTCCAGGCGAGCCGTACCCGCCCTTCCCGTACCCATCGGGCGAGCCGTACCCGCCCTTCCCGTAGCCATCCGGCGGGCCGTATCCGCCCTTGCCGTAGCCATCGGGCGGGGCGTATCCGCCCTTGCCGTAGCCGTCGGGCGGGCCGCACCCGCCCTTGCCGTAGCCATCGGGCGGGCCGTATCCGCCCTTCCCGTAGCTGCCAGGGCCGCCCATGGCGCCTCCAGGGGAAGAGGTGAGGGAGACGGGTTAATGGGGGAGGACTGGGAGAGGGATGGCTGGGAGGGGGAGCGGGCTGGTGAGCGAGCAGGTTTCTCCGTCCTCTTCCTCGCCCGATCCCTTGCTCCAGTCCGCCCCCGCCATTGTCTCCCTCTTCCCCCTCAACAATTTCAATGTCTGGCAACCGAGGGGTGCGACTGACACGAAACGGAGGCTCCCAACCGGGAAATCGATTCCGATTTCGTTTCGTGTCGTGCGTGGGGATCGGGCGAGGCGAGGCTGCGCAAGGGGGAGAGGGATCCTGCACTACTTGGGGCGGTCCGCGACAGGAGCGCGTTTCTTTATGTTCGGCGATGACGGGCGTCATGGGGGGGGGGGGGCGAGGGGGGGAGTCGTAACGCCCCCCCCGCGCCGTGTGGCTCCGGCACCGCAACCGCGCCCGCGCGCGCGACACGACGAGCGACGAGCGACGAGCGACGACGACGACGACGACGACGCGAGCAGCATGTAGGTGACGATATGCCCCACTGCTCCCGTATATACCACAACGTTCGCGATATGCCCCACTGCGCCCGTGTACACCACAGCACGCGTGTATACCACAGCGCCTGCGTACACCGCAACAACCGTGCACAACGCAGCGCATGTGTACACCACAGTGCTTGCGTACACTACAGCGCCGGTGTACATGTGTACACCGCAGCTACCATGTGCAACGCAGCGCCTGTGTGCACCACAATGCTTGCGTGCACCACAGCGCCTGTGCACGCCACAGCGGGTGTCTACACCACAGCAACCGCGTGCCACGCAGCGCTGATGTACACCACAACGCCTGCGTGCATAGGACAGGTAGACGGAGCATGTACGTGAGGATCTGCTGCGGACAACTAGACGCCACGCCGGGAAAATGCTGATAATCGAATGCGACGTTATTCCCTCCTCCCTCCTCCTCCTCCACCTCCACCACCTCCTCCTCCTCCTCCTCCTCCTCCTCCTCCTCCTCCTCCTCCTCCTCCTCTTCTTTACACCGTGTCGTGCGGGTTGGCGCAACAGCGCACGTGCGCATCCCAGCGCGCAACGCAGAATGGTTTATTGAATCTGTCCACTTGATTTCTGGACGGCCAATTTTACTGGAGCCTCCTGGACGCACAGAGGAGTTAGGGTGATGCGGGCGGACTCGGGAGGATTCGTAGATTCCAGCAACGCTCCGTTTTCCATAAGGATTATGATATGTGGTTCTCTGTGGTATCCACAAGCGGTTTATTCTGTCATAAGGATTCGTTACAACAGTGGTGCTGTGTTGCACACGGTTGCTGTGGTGCACAAAGGCGCCGTGGTGCACACAGGCACTGCAATGCAAGCAGGCATTGTGGTGTACTCTGGTGCTGTGCTGCACACGGCTGACGTGGTGTACGCAAGCGCTTTGGTGTGCACAAGAGCTGTTGTGCCCGCCAGCATGGTTTGCAAACTGACGCTGTGTTGCACGCGGCTGCTCTGGTGTACATAGGCGGTGTGGTGTACACAGGCGCTGTGGTGCGCGCAGGCACTGTGGTGTACACAAGCGTTGTTGTGCAATTCGCCACCTATATGCTGGCGCTACCCGTCTTCCGTCATTCCTAAGCATTCCCAGACGCCGCCGGCGCGAAACGTGACGACATCGACCCCCTCCACCACCACCCTAGATGATTGCCGTCATCGGCCCGGGAAAAAAATAGGCTTCAGCCGCATCCGCGCGCATTACGACTATGAGCGACGAGCGACAAGCCACGACCGACGACGACGACGACGACGACGACGACGACGACGACGACGACGACGACGACGACTGCGGACCAAACTCCTATGCGGATTCCTACGCGGACGCCTACGAGGATCCCAAAACGCACGACGACAGTGCCCGGAGCGCCCAGGGGGGTAGCGCTACGTCATAGGGGGGGAGGGGGGGGAGCGGAGGCCATGACGCCCGTCATGCCCCAAGCAATAAAAAAACGGGCCCCAGACTGCTTTGCCCCCCGTGCGCGCGAGAGGGCCCGCAGGGGTGTCCCGAAATTGTCCTGCGGGTTGTCCCGGGGCTGTCCCGTGGTGGTCCAGCGGTTGTCCCATCAGTTGCTTGCCGCGGTTGCCGCAAGATTAATTGATGGATAGCGATATTGAGGGTGCGACCGAAACGAAACGGAATTGACCGACTGGGAAATTTGTTTCGGTGTCGGTTTGTGTCGGGCGTGCGGGCGATGAGAAGCACCGCGAGTTACTCGGCCAACTGGGCCCAAGTCGCGCCACAGTGGGCTCCAGAGGCGTGCGCGGAGTTGCCCCGCGGCTGTCCTGTGGCTATTCCTTGTCCCAACGGTTGTCCCGTGGTTGTCTCGTGGTTGTGCCGTGGTTGTCCGATAGTCGTCCCACGACCTGTCCCTTGGTGGTCCCGTGGTTGCCGCGTCTGCATATATGTGCATATCTACAATAATGAAACCGATCCGTGTATGTATACATTTATGCATCTGCACACAAAACTAAATGCTTAGATCGTAATTGGACGGGTCGGTGGCACAAACATACTCTATAACATGGAAAACATTGTTTTTCTAAGAATCACCGTTGCCACCCCCCGGCAATTCACGGCCAGCCCTTCTAAGCAACCGAAGGCGCGCTGGAACCGAGCGGACACGCTCGGACTGAGTTTCCTGCCGCCAGCGCTGGCAGCTCGATGAGCATCGCGCGCGAACGGGAACGCATGGAGTGAACTTAAATGGTTGAAATGTCGGGCAGCGTGATGATCATCAAGTGCGAGCGGGCAGGCCTGCAGTGAGCTGATCGGCAAACCCTTGGCAGAACTGCTGGCCACGGTACTCGCTCGCTCGGCCGTGCATCCGGTGGGACGCGTTGGCAAACTCTGGTTGCGACGTTGGCAACCGAACGGAAAACATGAACTGAAAGTGCACAATGGGTGCTGCAAAACTAAGAAGGGGGAGGGGAGGGAGGAAGGCGAGATTGCCTCGGACCGCACACTGAAGAAGCCCACTGCTGTCGAGGCCGGCCTCGTCGTCGATGTAGCGCCCAACACTTTGGTGACCCATCTGGCTCGCATACAACTTGTCGCACCAAGGAGGGATGCCCACTTCTGGAAATCTTGAGGTACGCCTTCCCCTGCCTGTCCAGAAGAACATCCGACAGAGGTTTCGCGCCAGCCAGCTCTCTTCAGAATGTCTGCGTTGCTAACTCTCGAGATGAACGAAGGAGGTACGCCGACAATGCGTCGTAGACACCTGCAGTGGAAAGCATCAAGGCGCGCCCTGTCTGCTTTCAGTAACCAAACTGAGTCCAATGAGTGGAGCAGCTTGCTCACCACACAGCTTGTGTAAATACTGTGCTTTCGCCGTTTTCCAATCGAGGCGTGGCTCCAGAGCTTATCCAACTGCTTGAACATCTCTGTGCATTCTCCTAGTCTCCGCGTCAGTTCCGTGGCAACTTTCCCGTCGCAGGTAATCAGTCCTCCTAGGTAAACAGCTTCGCGGACGGACTTGATTGCGCCCCCGTCTGGTCGTGATATTACGTTGTGTGTTGGTATTTGCATTTATAAAATTTTGTCCCAATTCAGTTCCAAGCCGTATTTCTCACCTTCTGTAATAATGGCCAAGAGCATATCTTCCATATTTTGCTTGTGACGCGAAAGTAGAAGTGTATCGTCGGCGTAAAGGATATCGCGCGTCACGACATATGCCGGATTTTCTTGTAGATCGAGTTGGTCAAAAGCATCATACAGCATCACGCTCTGTACGATGATGAGCAAGTATGGTGATGAAGGGCACCCTTGTGCTATGCCCGCCCGCTGTTGTCTCTCAGTGGAAGAACCTGTATGGTCCAATATAGTGAAATATCTGGCCACCATATCTGCTGGAATACCAAAACGACCCAAAGCGTCGCACATGCAGTCTGGTTTGATTTTGGCCCAGTCCAACGTTACAAGAATTATACCACCATTTTTGTCTTGGTACGCTGCATCGATGATGCGCCGGACCAGCATGAGCGCATCTTGAGTGCCCCTCCCTGGTCTGAAGCCGTATTGAGAATTTCGTAGTCGACGCTCCGCTCCGCCGTGTAGAAGCCTCCGGCGCAGTAGTGCTGCCAGAACTTTGTAACCCACTGGAAGTAAGGAAATGGGCCTGTAGTTCGCCGGCAAAAGAACATTCCCCTTTTTGAATAGTAGTATCACGTTCGCGCGTTTCCAAATTTCTGGAATGGCCTTTTGCTCCCAACACTTCTGACACATGCCGAGCAAAACGCCGCACGCGGTTGTATCAAATACCAGCACTTTCCAAAAATCCGGAGGTATATCATCTGGGCCAGCGGGTTTTCCTTTCTTCAGCTTCTGAAGTGCAGCTTGAAGTTCTTCCATCGTGAAAGCGCCGGTGTCGACAGGAAGTGCGCTGCCCAAGTGCGCATTGTGATTTGGTCGTGTCTCTGGGAATTTGTACTCCCACTGTACGCGTTCAAAATAATCTGCCAGTGCGTCTGCTCTATCAGATGTGTCCGCCACGGCCCCGTCAGGTCGCTGTATTGTTGCATGCTGCGTCTTTTTGGGTTGGCGCAAATGTCGGACAGCATCCCAATTTCCCGTCGCGGTAAGCTGATCCAGCCAGACTGCTTTATCTGTTTTGGCACTCTTGCGGATCTGTTTGTTCAACTTCTGCTCGTTCTCGTAGTCCCCGGCTCGACGGCAGGCATTCCGTTCTGCAGTGAGTCCCAAAGTACCCTGACTCGTCCAAGGGCGCTTCGCCCGGATCACCTGGGCAGGCAACGCTGCAGCAGCCTGCGAAAAAAACATGCTGCAGATTCTTTGAGGCGGTTTCCGAATCGGCCGTCTGTTCTTGCTGCATGACTGCGTTGATGAACTCCCCCGCAAATCCTCGCTGAATTTCTGAATCAGCTAAGGCTGCTTTGTCGAATGATTGTTTCTGCTCTCTCTGTACCGTTTCGAACTCGATGTTCAGCTCAACAACAAGAAGAAAATGTCGGCTGTTTAGGGCGTCGGACCGGCTGCTCCAACAGCCGGAGATCGTGTCCAGCAAAGTTCGATGGCACAATATGTGATCAATTTGAGAGAAAAAGGAAATTGAGATATCATCATCCATTGGGTTGATGCCCACGCTCCGGCACGTGATTTTCAGCGAATCGGGATGGTCATGGAAAGTGTTCGCAATTGCCAGGTCGTGCGCCACACACGTTTACATGCACCATAAACAAGCTGGCGCGCTCGGAGCGAGCCTCCTGCCGGCAACGCTGGTAATTCGATGCGCGGATCCAGCGAGCTGGCACGCTAGGCGTGCGGGTCCTGGCAACAACGTTTGCAACCTGAACTGTAATGGAGACGCGCCGGCACATTCACGAAGCTCCCAGGGGGGGTACTGAAATAAAGCGGGAGGGGAAGGGCACGGGCCCCGCAGCGGAAATCTCATCATATGAAAAGCGTTTTCATTGCAGTGTCTGTGTGTGTGCTGGAAGGAAGCCCGCACGCTCGGACTGAGCTTCCTGGCATCATGGCAGCACCGCCGACGGTAGGAAAACCGCCGAACGCAATCCGAAACATTTTGGACAAGCTCCTCGGCAAAATGCGCGCAAACAGCGCTGGCGTAGCGAATTGCGCCGCGCGCGAGCTGGCACGTTCGAGCAACCCCACATCCTAGTTACCTCCCTCCTCCCTCTCCCCTCCTCGTAAATTCCGCCATTTGCCCCCTCACCCCTGGTCTGACAACTCTTCCCTGTTGTGCCCCTCATCATCCTCGTCCTCCTTTTCCTCCTCCTCCTCCTCATCCTCCTCCTCCTCCTCCTCCTCGTCTTCCTCCTCCTTCTCCTCTCCTCTCCTATCCGTTCTTCTCTTCTCCGGCTCATGCGCCCTTGCCGCATCCGTTTGCATCCGCGGGGACGGGGGAGAGAGGAACAGGATGAGAAGTTGAGGGGGCGGAGGAGGAACGGAACGGAAGGACACCCTGGGGTTAAAGGAGCAAGGGTGGAAGCTGAGCCGGGCCAACCTTTAGCCAACCCCAGACGAAGCCCCTAAGCAACCCCCTGGCCCCCCCTCTGGAATTCTCAGGTTTGGCGTCCAGGATGAGTTTTGAAAATGCCGAAGGCGGGGGCCAGGAGGGGGGAATGAGGGAGAAGGGGGAAAGGGAGAGACCAAAGGAAGGCAGATGTGTCTCAGCCGCTGCGTGGAGGCTCGGGCCCCTGATGCTGGAAGCTGGCCAGCTTGACGCCAGCGAGGCTCAGATAAAACATCAAGATATAGATCGTGCAACTTGTGTGGAACATGCGCGCCAAGCTCTGACAGAACAGTTGGCGCGTTGTTGATACAACCGCGCACCGCGAGAGCCCGAAACTGCCACGCTCAAGCCCCCGATCCCCACTGACGCACAGAAAATGAGGGAAACAAGCAGGCGAGGAGCATGATGCAGGAATCTATACTCGAGGATGAGGAAGAACACCAGCAAGAAGAGAACGACGACACAATAAGAAGCGGCCGGAGGAGGACGAAGATGAGGAAGATGACAGTGCTTAGGGTTTCGAAGAAAGTCAGTACAGAGATTCGGCACGATCGCTTCCAGTGGTAAAACTCTGTATACACTTTGAGATAATGCAGACGTCCCCTGCAACGAATAACCCGGCCAACCCCTAATAATATAATGGTGAGACCGACTTGTCGTGGCACGGACTGATATGTTTGCAGCGGGGTCCATGGACCGATAGTGGGACCGACCGATAGGGATATCAACATACAGATCTCGAGATCGCTAATCAGGTAGATCGTGAATCCGACCTGATGCCAATCGCAAACCAAAAGCTGCACCAATTCCTCCCCACCCGCCAAAAAGAAACATCATGATCAACCAAAAGATTGCTTAATGGGCACGGGCGCTCTCTTGTGTAAATCTGGGTGTGTTAGATTAGCGAGGCGCTTAGGCGGAGCTTTTACGCAGGCTTACGTAGAGCTTACGCGATATTTAAGCAGGGCGTGCTAAATAGTTGCACCTGCTCCTGGGACGCGTCTTATATGCATATTACATGTGCATGAAGCCTTGCGACTGCTCAAGCACCGTTTTTCTGTTGCATGGGAACGCAATGTACTTTGAGCTCTGAGCGCGCCTCAACCCCCCACTTACCGCGCAACCCGTATAATTTGACGCGAACTTACGCTGAGCTTACGCAAGGGCATGTTCAAACATATAATCTCGGAGGCCTCTTGCAGACCCCTCTGGGCCCTCGTGGGGGTCTTCTTGGGGCCCTTTCGCGTCGTGTCGGGGCCCTCGTGCGCCGTCCCGGCGGCCTTGTGCGGCGCTCCATGGGGGAGCGAGAAATGAGGGGGGGAGAAAGGTGCACTTCTCGGGCCCAAGAGCCCCCCCTCTGGGCCCAACAGGGCCCTTTTAAGGACCCCAAATGGCTCCTTCTCTGCAGTCCCCGCTGCCCTCCTCATTTACCGCCCCCCATTCTGCGACGCCCGATCTCGGGGCCCTGTTGGGTCGTCCGGGGTCTGGGGCCCTTTCAGGTCATTTCGGAGCCCCCTTGGGCCTTCGTGGGAGTCTTCCCGAGGCCCTTTCGGGTCGTTTCGGGGCCCTCTTCGGCCGTCCTGCGGGCCTTTTCGGGCAGCCGTGCCGGGCTTTCGCCGTCTTGGGGCTCCCTCGGGGGCCGCTTGGGGCCCTCTCGAAGTTCCTCCTCGGGATACTCTCCGGGGCCTCGTTGGGCCGTCCAAGGGCCTCTCATCGCTCCTCCCTCCTCCTCGCTCCTCACTCCTCGCTCCTCCTTCGCCTCCTCCTCCATCTTCTCCTCCTCCTCATCCTCCTCCTCCACCTCCTCCTCCTCGCCCTCTTCGCCCTCCTCCTCCTCCTCCTCCTCCTCCTCATCATCATCATCATCATCATCCTACTCATCCTCTTCTTCTTGCGACTCGGATTATTATTAGTATTTGTCATTATTTGTAATTCGTAGTATATGTTTCTTATTGTTCGTCTAACCATTGATATTCGTATTGTTTTCTTCATACTGTTATTACTCTTCGTCCAACTCCTCCTCCTCCTCCTCCACCTCCTCCTCTTCCTCCTTCTCATCCGCCTCCTCCTTGGCTCAAGACATTATGCGCCGAGGCTGCCTTGGCATGCAGAGAGGCAGCGCGGCGCTAGAGAGCGCCAATTTCAGAGCGGCACTGCGCTCTCGAGTCATTTCATGGCCCCCAGATCTAATGCTCGCAATGGAGCGTGGGCTTGCCCAAGATGCAAAGCTTACGACGGGGACGGCTACGATTTCTGCTGGAAGTGCTGAAGGTTCGCGACAGCGCGAAGTCCTCGAACCACAGCTCCCCCAGCAACCAGGGCGATACGGACTCCGAGGATGCAACCAAAGCAAAGCTCAAGAACTTACGATGACACCTGAGAGAACTTCGAAGGCAGGCTGAGGACCGAGATTTTCAGGCGCTCGTCACTGGCAGCATCGCCCTCATCCAGAAGGAGGTTGATGCGTTGCAGGCAGTTGTCGATGAATGCATCGACGTACCACGATGCTTCTCATAATGCGAACTCGCGAGGGAGCGCAAGAATACGGAAGCCCAGAGAGACCGTGCCAAAGAGCGGATGGAGAAGCTGCAGCAAGAAGTCAAGGAGGCCCAAGAAAAGTTGGACAGAGAGACGGTGCTCTTGGCTCGACAGGAGGAGAAGCCGCAGCAGCAGAACACCCGCATCGACGAGATCAGCGTGCCCAAGGCGGGGCAAGGCTGGGCAGCGACAGTCGCATTCCTGGAGCAAGCGACCAAGTGCCTGCGCGACCGCAACGCCGACCCGAAGCGTACAGATGCGCCACGACACGCTCAACAGCAGCAGCAAGTTGAGGAGGACCGTGCCAAGGTGGCCGCGGACGAGGCGGCAGAGAAGAAGGAACCGCAATGAGGCCAAGGACGGGCAGCGTACCAAGAGACGAGCGGAGGAAGAGACTCGCCAAGAGTTGGTCTCCGTCCCGCATGGGGGCAACGAGCAGCAAGCCAAGAAGATCATGCAGGACGCACGGTGCTCGCCTGACCAAGTGGATCGCCATGCTGTTCGTATTGCACCTCTGCTGGCAGGCATGCCGCCCAACACGAACCTCAACATCTCAAAGAATACCTGGGCTGCCCCGTCGTCTTCCTGACGACCTGGGCAGCAGGCAGGGGTTCTTCACCGTGAATGCGAACGCCATCGGCACGCTGGAGCGCGCGCTTCGGTCCATGCGGTATACGCACACGTCGCCAGCTACCACGGCGCAGGAGTTGCAAGCGAGTCCGCGCACCCTCCCCTGTTTCGTGCAGCGAACGCAGAAGGAAGGCTGGCGCCTGGGCATCGCCACCAGCGTCCGCGCCAAGGCAGGCGGGCGGAGCGCAGGAGTGCTCCCAGCCACTGTCCGGCCCAACAGCATGGGCTACGCCAAAGGCCTCGCCGCGTGGGACATCTCGCCGCACGAGTCCAAGGGCCACCTCGCGATCGGGTGGATCGACTCCCTCGGCAAGCAGGGGGTCTCCACCGGGACCGCGTACATCTGGGCCAGCGAAGGCATGACAGACCGCAACAAGGCCATCCTGCGCAACTCCACCACGGCCGCAATGGCGGCGGCCCGCTGAGCGCCACCGTGCAGGACCAGTGCAGCACCTCGCTGCACTCCCCAGTCCTGCTCCGCGCACCGCGCCTCCAAGAGCAGAACCGCTGGATACGAGTGCTGCGACGACGACGACGACGACGACAACGACGACGAGGGCACCTACAGCTACCTGCGGGATGCGCGTCGGGACCAACGACATGGCCGCGACTGCACGCGCCAACTCGGCATAGTCAGCAGGCGATGGACTGATCATGGAGCGACTTGGTCAATGTGTACGAAACTACGCCGGCCTCGAGTGGTTAAAGCGCAAGGGCCACCAGCAGGCACCCACGCACGCCTGGGAGCAGCTCAAGCCGCCCGTGGTCACAGAGGCCGTGCGCGAGCAGCAGTGGGCGGCGGCAGCCGAGTGGCTAGGGCGCAGACTCACGCGGCACGCGTGTGGTGGCGCAGCGGCATGCAGGAGACGGACGCTGCGCTGGGCGCAGCGCAAATCCAAAAAACATGTTGGGGAACGACATCATCGAACCGCTCCTCGAGCGGCACCACCCAGCCTGGAGCGACGGGCCCAGCGCGGAACACGGCACCGCCGAGCAGGACCATGGCAGCGACACCAGCGACGGCGCAATGGCGAACGCCGCCGACCTGGAGGAGCTGAACGAAGCAGCGAACCGAGTCGAGGAGGACGAACCGAGCCTCCCAGCGCTTACTCCTCGGACCCCCGCTGTCCGCGGTCCAGGGGCATCGCAGGACTGCCCGTTGGTCGGGGCGGAAGCAGCACGAGAGCGCCGCCGACCGACGGGGAGGGGGGCAAGACAACGACCTGGACGAGCTGTACGACCGAGTCGAGGAGGACAACCAGAGCACAACAAACAATTGCCCTTTTTCACTGAAAGGGGCAACGTTCTTCGTTTTTCCAAGTGGCCAAAAACGCAGAACGGCACCTCCAGTGTCAACGGGGCGGGGGCAATGGCACGACGTAGATTGGGGCCAGATGATCAACGCCGTAGCCTGGATCGACGTCCCCAGCATCACTGAGCGGGGCTTGCACCACATGGGTTGCGCGGCCAAACTCATGACCGTTGCCAGCCAGCACACGTGGCGACGAGTGCGACAACAGACAGCTCAAAGATGGCGACGCTGGGTGACCCAGCACAACCAAGCAAGCGCGGGGGCACTCCGCGAGTGGACCAAGCCACCTGTACCGCAGAAGCCGATGCAGCCAACCGAGACCCACCACCAGCACGGAGCTCCTCCACCCTCAGGTGGCAGCGGACGCAGCGCTGGAGGGTCAGGAGGCAGTCTGGGCCGACACCTACGACGCCAGCGAGCCATGGTGCCAGGAGCCCAGCGACGTCCCGAGGATCACCCCGAGGGACGTCGTGGAGGCACGCGGGCGCTTCCGCGCTGGGTGCCGAAGGGTGAGCTTATCGGAATGACTACTGCTCTCCTCTCTCCCCGAACCATGTCCAGCCATGTTCCCGCTTCTCCCACGCATTGCGTCCCAGATGCAGGATTTCAGGTTGTGGTCGTTTATGCGGTTACGTCCAATCGGACCGCCTTGCGTCCTTCGCAAAAGTGCCCACGCAACAGCGTTGATTTCATTGCAAGTTCAGTGCATTCCTTCCGTTGTCCGGAATGTTTCACCCATGCGTGGGCCGCATGTCTGGATACGACTCATTTCTCGTCGTTCCTGCCCCACCCGTTCCCTTCATCCGCCTCTCCGTGCTCCTCATGTTCTGCTTGCTCCTCCTGCTCATCTTCGTCAGCATCCTCCTCCTCCGCCTCCTCCTCCTCATCATCATCAGCATCATCAGCATCAGCAGCATTATCATCATTAGCAGCATCGTCGTCATCGTCATCGTCATCATCATCGTCGTCATCATCATCATCATCATTATCATCACCACCACCATCACCACCATCACCATCAGCATCATCATCATCATCAGCATCAGCGTCATCAGTTTCCTGATCCTTGTCCAACTCTTCCCCATGTCTTATCCACAGTCGAAGACATTCCCCTCGCCGATTCTTCTGCAAACGATGGGTCATGTCCTGCGACTGGCATTTGAAGGCCAAGGTTTTCATCGAGTCGAAAACAACTCGTAGGACAAATGAGGATTCAAGACAGTGGGAAAGGATGTGCGGGGGCGCGGGGGGTCTTGTTCTTATCCCACTCCCTTTCCTGCCCACCTCCCCCCCTCCAGTCACTCTCCTCCCCATCCCTCTCCTCCCACGTCTCACCTGCACCCGGCTCCCCCGCCTCCCTCGCTTCCCCCGCCCCCCTCGACCTCCCTCTCTTCCTCCTTTTCCTCCTCCTCCTCCTCCTACTGCTCCTCCTCCCGCTCCTCCTCCTCCTCCTCCTGCTGCTCCTCCTCCTCATCCTCCTCCTTCTCCTCCTCCTCCTCCTCCTCCTCCTTATCCCCACCCGACTTCAGCGTGCAGCGGCCGTAGCGTCTAACCTCCTCATCATTATGCCCTCCTCCGCCGTTCCTCCGCCCTCTTCTTCCTCCTCCTCCTCCTCTCCCCCTCCTCCCTCCTCCTCCTCCTCCTCCTCCCCCTCCTCCTCCTCCCCTCCTCCTCCTCCTCTCCCCTCCTCCCCCTCTTCCTCCTCCTCCTCCTCCTCCCCCTCCTCCTCCTCCCCCTCCTCCTCCTCCCCCTCCGCTCCCTCCTCCTCCTCCTCCTCCTCCCCCTTCTTCTTCATCTTCCTCGTAGAGCTCTAGAGGCCCCCCAGAGCCTCCAAGCAAGCTTTTGAGCCAAACGCTGGCCAGAATCACACCAGGAGAGCTCCAAACAATACACCACCACCAGCTCTGGCCTGGGCTATCGTGGGCACTGGGCTGGTGTACAGGCCTTCCTGGTCTAGGCCAGGAGGTCTGTACACCGATCCAGGGCCCAGGAAGTGCCTGGCCAAGGCTGGTGGTGGTGTATAGTTGGCGTCCCTCCGACACACGGCAGAGCAAACGCCAACAACTCACAGGCAAAGACCCCGCCCCTTCCCCAGCTGCCTCCAGGACCCTCCACAAACAACGACGCGTGCGCCCACCCCGCGCATAGTAGCGACTGCCCCCCCTCTCGGAACCGGAAGGTTTTTTTTCGCATGAGAACAGGAATGCCGCCACACAGCTGCGCGCGCCCAATTAAACAGCAGCGCGCAAAAGCTGCGCACAAGCCTTTTTTCGGGGAGACGAATAGGCTAGCTCCCCGCTGCGTGAGTCAACACGTCGCCAGGCACACCGGGAACCTCACACGATCTGACCTGCGACAGGCAACCTCAGGGAACCAGAGAGTGGACAGAGGGGCGCGGGTGAGCAAGTCCTCGGAGCAGACGGCCGGGAGGGGGGCAGCACAGGGTGGGTTAGCGAGACAGCTCGCGTGGCTGAGTACTTCGGCACCTGGCGGCGTGGCCGAGACCAACTGAACGCAGCAGTTTTCTGAACCATCCTTTTCCCAATCTCCTCCCCCCTTCGCCCGACCGACAGTGAGTGGAGCGGCATCGTTGGAGCAACGGCCTGACACGCTGGCAGAGCCGAGTGAGGGCGGGTGCATGAAAAGAGAGCAGGATCGAATCGGAAGGTGCGTCGGATCGGGCTGCATCGGCACGAAGCGATAATCGGATCGGATCGGCCGCGCCAGGATGCACAACGGCAGCACCATGCAAACACCGGGCCGCACCAGATCGCCGTTGACATCTGAATCGAGTCGGATCGGACCCACCAGAATCGATACTGAAGTGGATCAAAATGGAGCCTGGAAGGCGTCAAGACCCAAACATCCGATGTCTTGTTTTTAATCACGGGTTCTCCATTTGGTTGACTGATACGGGGCCCGGCGAGGGCGCCCGGAAGCCGAAAATTGGCAAACACCCTCCGTCTCACAACGAAAGAAGTCCAGTGGATGGTCCTCCAGCCCTCCGAACTTTCAGCGCCGCCCCACACCCAAGGCGCGAAGCGCTCCTTCAGCCGCGCCAGCGCGGCCCGGCTTGCGCCATGGGCGCTTGGGAGCACCCTCCGAGGCGAAAGCGGCAGATGCGCGTACGGTGAGCTCACGAAGCGCCTGTCCCCGTCCCCAGACATCCTTCGGCGACTCCTGAGGGTGTGACTTGCAAAGGGTGTGGTTTGAAACCCGCACCCTGGGGGGCGGGCGAGGTTTCTCGACAGAGGTCTCCGCCACGCCCCCAGGAGGGCAACGCGGCGCCCCCCAAGGCCCCACGGCGCCGATCGCAAACCCCCCCCTGGCGTCCACGCCTTTTGCAGTCCCCATACATCCTCGCACCGTGGACAAAAAACAACTGAAAACTTTCGGCAACTTTCGGTCTTAGGGGACCCTCACCAGGCCCTGGGACCGTTAAACAAACGACTCGGGATGAAGAACCTGTCCACTGGAAGATGGCCCCAGATCACCCGCGACCAAAAATGTTCGGTAGCGGATGTCCGTCGCACTGAATGTCGGTCGCGGCCACAGGGGCTTGAACTTCGGTAGCGAAGAGACGGCGCGCTGGGGTCCCACTGAGGACTTCGAAAACGTCGACGACTCGCTCGTCGCTGGTATTCGCGACAACAGGCAACAAAAATCGGCCGCGACCGGCTCGTCCAGTCGGTAACGGACCATCTGTCAGCGGCGAGCGAGGGGGGGAAGTGAGAAGGAGAAGGCCTTCTCAGAAGGCGGCGGGACTTCTCAGAAGCCTTCGCGCCTTCTGGGAAGATTTCTGTGACTTCGGGGAAGCTTTAGAAAACTTCCAAGAAGGCCAGAAGACTTCAGAACCTTCTGAGAAGGCCTTCTCCTTCTCACTTCCACCCCTCGCTCGCCGCCGAATCTGGGGCCAGACCTCCGGGGAGCCACGTGGCGAAAAGGTCGCGGCGTCGGATGTCTGGGTCCCGTTGCTGCCGCCGCCGCCGAAAAGCTGCTCAAGCGCTCCAGCTGGTGCTCCTCTGCCCCCAGGCCCGCTCCTGCTCTCGTGCTCAGGGTTACGGTAAAAGCTCGACCACAAGACCACAAGAAACCTTCCACAAGAAACCTAACCCTGAGACCCCAGGACGTCCATTCATTGTTGGTGTGGGAACGTCACGCTTCCCATAGAAACAATCATCGAAACCCAAGAATACTGGGGCACCCTGGAGGCAAGCAGGGTGTTGCTTGGCACGGGTTTCCACTGTAAGAGCCTTCTACGCTAAGAAAGCGGACTTCACTCCAACCGTCTTCTGAATCAGTAGTCCAGGTCCAGATCTCCGAAACGCCCAGATCACCCAGTCCAGACCCTGAATTCCATGAAAGTTGTCACTTCTCTCTTCCGACTTCTGAGGGGTGTACCCCAGTTTCCTGCTCGGGTGCGCCGCCGAAGGGGGGCACACCGTGGCCCGAGGCGCGTGAACGGACGCGGGGGGACAGGGGACGCGTTGGAAGAAGAGGAAGAGCAGGAGAATAACAAGAAGAACGAGACGAGGGACTCCACTCCAAGCGATATGTTAAACCGTAGCCCAAGTCAACGAAAGCGCTTAAACTCCAGTCTACATACTTGCATGTCTAAAACCAAAACTGGAGCCCAAGCGAATTCGTGTTTTTCGCAAGGTTTCTGATGGGTGTATCACTGCCATCGCTGTCACCATCAACATAAGATTCACCCAGTTGTCAGAAGCACAGTCCTCGTCGACAACAGATACACGCTCGTCATCGCAGGCACTACCGTTCGCAGGCGCACTGATCCCTCCTCCCAGTCTGTGATTAGCAGCACCCTCACCTGAATGTGTTCATCTTCATCAGCGTCATCGTCGCCATCGCAATTCTACTGCAGCCCCCAACCCCTGATCCCACCGCCCAAAATCCCGCCCACCCTTCCTCCATCCCTCACTCCTTGTGTGTGCCCCTCCCTCCATCCCTCCCTACTCGTTCTTCTCCTCCCGATGGGACCATCCTTCCACTGCTTGCGTTTCCTGCCCGTCGCCCTTATTCGGAAAGGCAACCGCCCTTCGTCACTGCCCTCCTCTCCTTGGCCGCCCTGGGACTTCCGCCGGGCCGGCCGCCGTCCCACCGCTCTGTCGCCCGAACCTCGGCCGATTCCGGGGCGGCGAGGCCAAAGCCAAACTGCAAGCAAGACCAGCATGCACAGCCGTCGTCCTAGCAGAAGGAAGGTTGAATAGTGAACGAATGGACTTGTGTGGCCGCGGCGAGGCTCGGCCCCACGAATAAGTTCCCCGACCTGGATCAGCCCGATGTGCAACCAGCCCCTCCTGAGCCGAAGGTTGTCCCTATTTCAGCGTCTCGACTGTGCACAGGAGCTCCCCCAACCCCATCCCTCCCCTCCTCCTCCTATTGCTCCTGGTGCTCCTCCACCTCCTCCTCCTCCTCCTCCTCCTCCTCCTTCTCCTCCTCCTCCTCCTCGGTTTCTTCTTCGTCATCTTCTTACTCTTCCTCCTCATCTTCCTCCTCCGCCTCGTCCTCCTCCTTCTCCTCCTCCTCCTCCTCCTTCTCTTCCTCCTCTTTCTCCTCATCCTCCTCCTCCTCTTCCTCCTCTTCCTCCCCCTCCTTCCCACATTGTTCCCTTCCTTCCTGGAGGTATTGCTCGGAGAAAACTCGGCAAACAAGGAACGGAGCCCCTGTCTTGCTCAGCGCGGGTAAAGACCCCTGGAAAACCGAGGGAAGAACCAGGGAAAGACCGAAGCAATCCCGAACCCCTTCCAGACCGAACGCGTCCACTGCTCTGGCAGGAGGACTGCGCTCCACCCCACAACAACCATAACCGGAGTACTGCCATCCGAGCGGGCCGACGCTTGAAAATGTCATGAAAACCGTGCGTGCTTAAGGAGTGAGGAACAACAGTAGGGAAACATGAAAAAAGCAAAAGGGCAGAACAAAGGAGAGCCCCTCGCCCCCCTGCCACCGATTTTCCTCCCCCTCACAAATCCTCGTTCCCCTCCCTCCCTCGGACATCGTCGCCCCGTCAAAAATACCCCCCCCTTCCTCCTGGATCCTCCTCCGCCTCCTCCTTCTCCTCCTCCTCCTGCTCCTCCTCCCTTCTCCTCCTCTCCTTCCTCCCCCATTCTTTGTATGTGTGAATAACTCTCCCCCGTCGCATTCCGAGGGCGATCGGACGGGCGGGCCCAGCGTTTCGCCAGGGACTTCTCCACCATTTTTGAATTTGAAAATTAAACTCAGTCTTCAAGTTCACATATAAAAAAACGGGGGTCTTCAACATATGGCTCTGGCAAACAGCGCCGCTCACATTCAGTTGAAAAATACAAGAAAAAATCGCGGGGACTGGAGGCATGTCGTTTTCAAAATGTGTTTCTCGCCTTAACGCCGCGCAAATTCGCTATATATTCGCCCGGCGAAATGCCCAAGCCCTTGACGCTGTGAGCACCGCGGTCGTGAGAATCATCTTCGGTGGAGCTCCTCATGGGGGCGCGATGCGTGCGAGGGGCGTGCCAAAATGGGATGGCGGCGGCACGCGGGCGCTGCCACTGGGGCCCTCGGTGGAGCTTCCTATAAGGCCTTCGGCGCGGCTTCCTCTGTCCGTGATCCGTTCGATGTTGGAGGGCACGAGGAAAGCTAGACCGTCCAAGATGGCCCTTCCCTTCTTGTTCCCCCTCGTTGCCCGTTGCCCGCGCCCTCCAAAGTCCAAGGCTGCGGGCGCAGAGCAGCACGGAGTTCCCGCGACGCGCGCTGGTCGCCCCGAAGGGGTCCCAGCGACGCGCGCGGGTCTTCCGCGGCGCGGGGCCATGCGGTTGGAGAGTCGAGCGGGGGCGCTGCTCGGGCGGGCCAGCTCCCTAGGTCAGGCCTCACGGAAAGACTCGGTGAAGCCTGGCTCCCTGGCGCGGGCCGTCGCCTCCCTCCTGCACCGCTTCGTGGGCGTCGCAAGCTGCTCCAACTGCTTCCGCAAGCCCTCCGGCGGCCTGGGGCCGGCGGCCCAGCTCAATACAGGGCCACGAACCTTGTGAGGGGTGTGCCGACATGGGCATGCGGTGGGCGGGGAGGTGGGCGCATGTGGACGCTGCCACCGGAGCCCTCGGTGGAGCTACCTATGGGGCCTCGAACCGTGTGAGGGGTGTGCCGGCATGGGCATGCGGTAGGCGGGGAGGGCGCATGTGGACGCTGCTACTGGGGCCTTCGGTGTATGGGGCGATGGGGCCACGAACCGTGTGACGGGTGTGCTGGCATGGGCATGCGGTGGGCGGGGAGGGCGCACAAGGACGCTGCCACTGGAGCCTTCGGTGGAGCTCCTTACGGGGCCACGAACCGTGTGAGAGGTGTGCCGACATGGGCACGCGGTGGGCGGGGAGGGGCGCATGTGGACGCTGCCGCTGGGGCCTTCGGTGGAGCCCGCTATGGGGCCACGAAGCGCTTTACTGGGTGAAGGAACGCGGGGCGCTGTCTCTTCAAAACGAGGATCCAACGCCACAGGATGGCTGGGAACCAAAATGCAAACAGTGTAACGGATTGAGGGCATTTCCTTTTCAACATGTTTTTTTGGCGGGGAGAAGAAGGAGGAAAGCTGAGGGGACGAATGGCGGACAGACAAGCCAGAGCACGACGATGCAAATAGCCAGTGACGCCAGGTCGAGAGGGCGAGTTAAACTCACTAAACCAAGTCCAAGACTCTAGAACCCAGACCACAGTGGGCCGAATCGCAAAATGCAGAACTACGACGCCCCATGGACTCTGCCTGAAACAACGGGCAGCAGCGAGAAAACCCTAACGTGGAATGGCAGACAGGAGAAGGGGGAAGAGGAGGATGCACTGAAAGACGCCTCAGGCGCACTAGGCAGTGTCGAACGCGCCAGTTCGGGTTACGAAGGCGTGCAAGTGGAGCCCGTTTATTAGAATGAATCACGCATCTGCTGAGCGGAAGTGCCCACGGCTGCCGGCGAATAGCAGAGCCTGCTCTCATCGGGAAGCTGCGCGTGATAGAAATACGGCCCTGGTTGCTATCAAGCCTGAGGGAAGGAGGAACGGGAGGAGGCGCGGACAAGGAGGGAGGACGGGGGAGCCAATCAAATCCGCCAGGGCGTGGCACTGCGAGACATACTGATAACAAAAAAACGCCCTCGGTTTATATCGGGTCGACGGCGTAAGCAGAGCGCTAAATTATACATAGCGTGAAACGGGGGCGAGAGGAGGGAGGAAGAGGAGGAGGCACACCGCTGCGCGCGGGCTCGGGGCGGCTCCCCTTTGAGAGAGGGCGGCCATCGATTCCGGGCGGCCCAGCGATGGCCTGCCTTCCCATGCAACCGGCACGAACGCCAACCACAAGCACGGCGCGCAAACCCCAAGGGCCCGCACCGTAAAGGGGGGAAGGGGGGCACAGGCAGCACTGGTTGCCCTCGGGGCGTGAACGGTCGTGAACGACCACGTGCCCTCCCTGTCTGCCCAGGGGCGTGCAACTCTCACGCTCATGCGGCTGACATGTAACACTGCGGCTGGAAATGCACACAAAAGCGGGGAGAGGAGGAGCAAGAGGAAAAACGGGAGCTGCGACGAAGAACAACTGGCAGCATCTATACCAATAAGCTGCCCCGCGTGGGCTCGGAGGCCTTTGCCTCGGATGCCACTCCCCCGCAGGGGGGGCTACAAACCTGAGAAAGGCAAGGAACCGCCCACCACGACGACGACGACGACGACGACGACGACGACGACGACGGCAACGCAGGCGACGGGGAAGGAGGGAACGAGGAAGAGAGTCGCAACAGCAGCAGCAGCAGAGGGGAGGAGAAGGAGAGAAAGGCGGTCCCCTGCCCCCAAAGGCGTGGGGCCCCCAGAGGGGGCGGCGGGCGGACAAATCGTGCCCCCCTGGTGCAGACGACGAAACGGCAGGGGCAAACATTTAGTGAACGCTCCGGGCCTTCACCAAACGGAGATGGCCTCATGGGTTTGACCCGGAACTGAGGCGGCCCTCGCGAACGAAGCCCCGAAACGCCCTGCTCAGATCGTCCAGCTGCGACGCGCCTGTCCGCAGAGCGTTGCGCAACCGATCTACAAAATAAATTCCCAATCCGCGCTGCCGAAGCCAGCCCTCCAAGCCGTCCACACGAGCTCCACGCACGACGTCTCGAGCAGGTTCCATGCAGAAGAAGGCGTCCAAATGCCCAGCACCCGTGGGAGGCGGCAAGCGCAGGTGCTGCTGGAACAATGCGGTCACCACCGGACGTCGCGCCATGTGTTCAATGCTGTCCTCCGGGGCCCCGTACCCCAACCTGCAGCAGCCGCCTGTCCATGGAAACGCCGTTTGGTGCACCACCCCTTGCATAGCATGCGGATGTATGCTGCGAGCACCCGGGGCTGGCAGCTGGTGGAGAGAATCTTCAACGCCTTGGTAGCCTTAGCCAGCCGATGCCCCGGCAGAGTCTGCAGGTCCCACTCGTCGAGCTTGCTGCGGAGATGGGCTTGTGCTGCCAAGCGCGGGTGACTACGCAGCGTGGCTGCCATTCGTTTCAGCCAGCCCTTGCACACATCCAAGCTAAGGGCCACCTCTCCGCGCAATCTCGCTCGTCGCTCAACTTCCCAATCTGCTTGCTGCAACTGGAATAGAAAACTCTTCCATCCACGCCTGCAGCCACCCCGCCTGCGCCAAGCTTCTGCTGTCCCCCAATGATTGCGCAAAGGCTCGCAGTGCCGCGGCCCTTTCGTGAACTCACAAGCAGCCTGCCGCCTCGAATCGCACCACCCTGGCTTTAGCTGCCAGCGCGGCGGAAGCGACGTCTTCCAGCTCGTCCGGGAAGCCCAGCTCCTTGAGCTCCTTGAGGCAAGCGGGTGACATCCAGGTCCTCGGGCCCTGGGAAAGCAATCTGCAAGCTGCTTCCTCGCTCTCGCCGAAAGCGCCGGTCAAGTCGTCGAAATGGCCCACGAACAGCAGGACCGATGCCACGTAGATCCGGTACGCGCAAATAGTCGTCAGCACGCCAGCCCCGATGGACCCCCAGAGTCGCGCGCGGGCCATGTATTTCTCCAGTGGTGCCCTCCAAGATAATTGCCCTCGCCCTGGCCCCACATATAGGCCCAAGTACTTGGCCGACGAATGTGGCTCTCGCACTTTCGCTTCAACCATGTGCACGAGCTTCACGGATTGAGGGCGGCTCCTTTTCAAAATGTGGCTCTGGCCTTAGGGCCGCGCACGATCGTTCTAAAATGTTGCAAGAGTTTCGCGGTTTATATCAAGGTGCAGCAGTTACGTTGATTTACAGTGCTGAGCTCCCAGGAATGGCGTTCTGGTGGAATTCAGGATCGTCAAGACGTAACAATCATATTAATTCGTGGAGTGGAAATCCAAAGAATGGCGTTCGGGCAAGCTTCAGGATTTTCGCACGGTTGTCTCCCAACGGGGCACGTCCTTCAGTGGAAGTGAACCCTTGTATGGGGCCTGTAAAGAGGGAGCTTGGAGGGAGGCCGTATCCCGATATCGTTGAACCTCCTCCTCCTCCTCCTCTCCTCCTCAACCTCCTCCTCCTCCTCATCCTCCTCCTCCTCCTCCTCCTCCTCCCTCCTCCTCCTCCTCCTCCTCCTCCTCCTCTCCTCCTCCTCCTCCTCCTCCTCCTCCTCCTCCTCCTCCTCATTGGGGGCAGGCAGGAGAGGGCAGGCGGGTGGCACGTGGGCCGCGCGGCTCCCGAGAGAGAGAGAGAGAGGGAGAGAGGCCCCGAGGGCAGCACGTCGTCCAAGACGACGCTCGGGAGGGACAGTGCAAATAGTGCTCGTCCTCCCTCCTCCTCCCTCCCTCCTTCCTCCTCTCCTCTTCCTCCTCTCTTCTCCTCATCCTTCTCCTCCTCCTCCTCCTCCTCCTCCTCCTCCTCCACCTTCCTCCCCCTCCCCCCCCCGCCCTCTTCCCCCCCCACCTTTTCCTTCTCCTTCCCGCTCCTTTTCCAAATGAATAACGTCGCTTCTCCCTGTCGCATCCCGAGGCCGGTCGGAAAGGCGTGCCGGGCGCTTCGCCAGAGCCTTCCTTGTCAGTCATGACCCTGAACATTAAAAAGCGGCGACAATTTCACACATGGAAGGCGGGCGGATTTCAAAATGTATCTCTTGCCGTAGCTCCGCGCACATTCGATTTAAACATTTGCACCCAATTTCACGGATCGGGCGGGTGGTTCTCAAAATGTGGTTGTCGTCTTAGCGCCGCACATAGCCGTATTTAAAGTATGCCAGAGTTTCACAGATTGGGCTCCTTTTCAAAATGTGGCTCTCGCCTTAGCGCCGCGCATTCTCGTTTCACCGAGATTGCAAGAGCTTCATGGATTGAGGGCGGCTCCTTTTCAACGTGTGGCTCTGGCCTCAGCGCCGCGCACAGTAGTTGTAAACAACTAGAACGGTGTCATGGAGTCTCATGGTTAACATGCCAAAACTGGTGTTGTGCAACGGTTCAGGATTGCCAGGGCGCACCAGTTACATTGAGTCGCGATGTCGAAGTCGATTCAGGATCGCCAAGACGCAAACGTCAGGTTGATTCGCGGCGCTGCAATCCCGAAGATGGTTCTTGCCACGCTGCAGGATCTTCAAACTTCCTCGGAAATGACCCCGTACAGGGGCCTATGAAAAAGGAGCTTGGAGGGAGGGTTTATTCCACTGGTGTACACTGGTCCTCCTCCTCATCTTCCTCCTCCCCCTCTTCTGCCCTCCTCCTCCTCCTCCTCCTCCTCCTCTTCCGCCCTCTTCCGCCCTCGTCCCGGGGCGTCGTCCCGCCCTCCGCCCGCCCTCGCGCTCCGCGGGGAGGCGTGAGGCGCCCCTGTCTACCTGTCCGCACCGCAGGCCTGGCCTGGAAACGCCCTCGGCCTGGCACACGCTGCGCACTCTTTCCCCCTCCTAGGCCCTGCCGCCTCTCCTCCTGCACGTTCCCTATCCGGCTTCCCCTCGCGCGTACAGTCAGCCGGTATGATAGCGACGCACGATTAGGATGTAAGGGCATTGGAAGGCTACGTCGACACTTTGCGAGCGGGGCGCGGCCAGCCAAAGCGGCCAAGGATGGGCCGAAAGGGAACAAAGCAAGAGTAACCTTAAAAAGCTCATCCTCACTATGCGGGCTGACTGTAACCGATAGCGCAACCGCTTCTTTGGCAGTCCATTCGACCGAACACCTCCTCATCCGCCTCTTGTCTCCCCTCGCACGCTCAGGAGAGGGCAGAGGAGGAGGAGGAGAGTTGCGAAACCCCGCACGAGGAATCAGGCCCCTCACTGGCGAACCTTGCGGGGGCAGCGATGAGGGGCGTATTCGCAACCAAGGTCTTGGTCCGCTGCGCTCTCTTACGAAATCCACAGCGTCACACGAAAAGCACCACTTTTGTTGCGAGGCTGAACTGAATGGGGCGCTGTGAAGCTTTCATCAAGCTCTTCACTTCCTGGCCTCACGGCTGGGCGAAGGACTCTTCTTCAATGGCCCCAAGGACGCGGGAAGGGTGGAATAGGCGCTGGATTTCTGTGCTCCGCCCGCTTGAAGGAGAGCGCTTCGTAACACCCTGGCTGGGGTCCAGGATCAGCCTCGGTCTCGCTCCCAGCAGCTCTCACGCCGAAGGTTTCCATGCACGCTGGCGAGGGGCCCGAAGGGCCCCGTCAGAAAGATTTCGACGATCGCCCCCGCTGGGAAGCCCTGCACTTGACAGGAAGGAAACGGGTCCTGAAGCAAACGGGCTCCGGACCCCGCGGGCTTGACCTGGCACTAGCTGTTCATCATGGAAAAGTGTGGGCGGTCCCATGGCCCCGGGAGGGCCCTGGAGCCCGACAACGGCGAAAAACCGCAGGGCATGTTTCCCTCAGGACGTGATTCCATTATATGGCAATTGCACGGGCCTTGGACATCCGCCTGGGACAGTGCCGGCACCACTGGAAAGCTCCCAACGACGCGCAGCGACGCGAAGCATAAAAAAGTGCTCAGACGTGCGCAGATAAACAAGCTTCTATCGCATGGCTTCGGCGCGTGCAAGCCTCACGGCACTGGCTGGCTGCTTTCTCCCGCGCCCGCCCCGCGCCGCGACAGAAGCGTTGGCGGGCTGCTTTCTCGCGCGCCCCTGCTCATACAAGACGCCCAGCCGACATCCACCACGGCCCGCACGTTGGCGCGCGGCCGCTCAGCGCTGCCCCTGCGGTCAAGGGGAAGAGAAGACTGCCCTTTCTGGGAACGCCCCGCTCCCTTTCCATGATTGCCCTGGTCGCCGCGAGACGCGGTCTTCAAGGGCTGGCTGACTGGCGACGCTTGTCTGGGGGCTGGCCTTGAAAACGTGGCCCAAGAAACGCCTTGGTCCACGCGCCCACTTCCCAAAGAAAGCTCGGCACCCACACATGCGAGCCGCTGCTTACGGTCGGGGAATGTTTGTATAGCGTGTCGCGGCGGCGACCCCAGCGACACGCTGCCTGGCAAGCGTATAGCGAGCCGCTCCAGTGCGCGGGGCGGGAGGCCCGGAAAAGCTCGGTATGTGGACGCCTGGCGATCGCGAAAAGGATAGCATGTCGCACCGCGGCGTGGACCGGCGGAGCGACACGAGAAGCCAAAGTTCCTGACCGCAAGGTGCCGCTCCGGGCGCTCCCGCCAAAGAGACTGTTTACCCGGAGTCAAGCACCGAAGCACGCGCGACCGAACCCGCGCGGAGGCCCAGGGGACTGAGCTCAAAGGGCGTCCTGGGCAAGTCTGGTCTGCGGAGTTCTTGCAACGGAGTGGCGTGGCAATCATCAATCGGCGGCGGTGCAACACGCGCAGAGAAATCGCTACCGTCCTTGACGCACACAGTATTCCCCAATCAATGCTTGCACTGAAGGGGTCCTGGCGGATATTCAAAAGA